TGCACTTTTAAGTAAGAATAGTAACTTTGGAGATATGCTTTTTAAAACATTGTAATGTTCTTTTTGAGAAGTATCCAAACTTATTACGGACAAAATCCTCATAATCACAAAATTTGCCTCCATCAGTACATAAATAAATATTACACCCTTATCAATCTACTCTTTTATGTACCTGGACTTGTTTGGTTGTTCCATAATATGCATGAATGTGGAGAAATTGTGTTTAAAAGCCATTCTCCATGCTTCAAGAGCTTGTTTATGGAAGTTGGAGAGCTTGAGGGGCAGTTTGGTATTTATAATTACAAGTTAATAGAAATTTTAGACTACCATACTTATCAAATAACAAATTAGGAATGTAAAACCAATGACAATTGCCTTTAGACAAACACTGCTTAATCCAATTAATCTTGAAAATCTGGTTAATAGTTTGAAAGTCTAATGCAATAAAGTCTCATTCAGAGTAGCTTCTAATACACATTTTCCTTTTCATATACTCAGTTTTGTTTTTCCATATGAAGTTAAATAAAAGCGAGTCAATGGCTTTACATGTCTTTGGGTTTATTTGTTACATCAAAACAAGAGAAAAAACACAATTCAGGACTAGACTGCATTACCAGGGAAACTGATGTAGAATTGAGCACCGACAAATTTTAACCAAACTGATAGACAAATAAGGAAATAAACCACACGCTCAAACCAATTAAACCAAATACTATGGAAAAACACTATATCTGCATGCTGCACACTAATTACACAAAACACCCATGCAAAATGGTTACTCTGTCTTTCAGTTTCCCCCTTTAACAGCCAGAAACACAAAATATGGCCCATTCAAGGATCTAGTGTGACCACAATAAAACTAACCGGGGGAAAAAACAGTGGTTGGCTCTCCTAATAACGTCTTGCTTGACTTAGAAACACATTCCCCTCCCGCCGTTGAAGGCATGCAGGTGACTGGGATCTGTGCTTTAGCTGATGTGTTTAAACAATCACTCCAAGCTTTGGACCCTCACTAACACGAAGTCCAATCAAGCACCAAACAAAGGCTGGCCTCAGCTGCTCTCTCAGGTGTGTGACTCCAGAAAGAAAAGACCAGGTGGTCTTCCCTCCCCTATTTATAGACTCTGCCCCTTTACCTGGGTCCTAGTGCTAAACCCCTGTTGCCTTCCATATCACAATAAGACCAATCAACCCCATACATTTCATTAAACAAGTAATTAAAGCATAAAGTAATCAAAGTGTATGTGTGTTTGTGTTAAAAAAAAAGAAGAAATATTAAAAATTAAAATAAAATAAATAAATAAAACAGTAAGCGTGTGTGTGTGTTAAAATATAAATAAATTAAAAAATAAATAATAAAACAGTAAGTGTGTGTGTGTGTGTTAAAAAAATTAAAATATATTAAAATAAATAAATAAAACAGTATTATATTATATTAGTAGGGGAGAGCGGGGTATGTTGTCACACCTTTCACACCCTCTAATATTTACTGAGCACTGTACATCACAATGGTACAAATGTCATACCAAATGAAAGAATGAAGTCTTGGGCAGAAGTTTTGTATTCATTACATCTTCATATCTTATCTCATTATGGAGCTGTAGACTGTTGAATAGAGAGTGTGCACTTGTGACAATTAGCGCCATCGGCAGGTAAGTTGTACTGGGTAAGTTGTCACACTGGATTATCAAACAGTTAGAACACTTAATTGTGAATATTGATTTCAATTTCAAATTGTAACCAGAACTAAAAGTAAAATCAATCAACAATCAAGCCTAGAGAATTTGGAATGTAAATAATTTAATTCAAAACAAAAATGAAGTGGGACAACCTCTTTCTTTGAACTTTAAAATCAAACGTTCTCTGGAGTGCAAATAGATCTATGGTAATTGAATGTAATGCTGCAGATAACTTGCTTAAATGTATAACTTCTTAACTAAACAGATGTGGTGTTTAAACACACTAATGCAACAATGTGAATTTTGTGTACGACCTACATATGTATCTGACTAATCAGACATGTCTTTAGTGTCACAGTTCTGGCACACATAAATTGCCCATTTGTTGCATTTCACACACTTAAACATCGTCTTCTTTCGAATACTGTATGAAAATGGCTCCACATAGATGAGGCCAAATGAGATGTCGGCGGCTTACGTCAAAATTCTTAGCTGTACTTCTGATTGATTTGTTCTTCAACTTCACCTGCCTGACTGTCTTTAACATTATGTCAGGCGGTGTACTGTCATTCTCTGTCTTCTGTTGATAATTTCTTCCTTCCTTCAAAAACACATTCCTCCTTGCAATTACATATTAATTACAAGCTTATTTGTCTGCTACCCTTGTTGCCTAACTAAATTAATAACTGGATCATGTAGTGTGTGTGTGTGTGTGTGTTTGTATCTACTAACATACTACATGCCTACGGTATAAGAACGTATATACTCATGTCATGAATTCAGTCTTGTCCAGACATGCTGCTGTAAACTACAGTGTGTAATATTCTATTTACAGTATCATTTAATACTTGTGTCAGAGGTAATTACACAATTTCACATAGTTTTTTGAGCATGTTCTATGTGTTTATTTGTACTGGGGCAAGTAATCACATGTGACAACTTGCCCCAAAGTCATTGAGACAGCTTGCCCCAAACTGACATGTGTGCTAATATTGGCTAAATCTCAAGGTTAGCTAATAGCACTTCAGCTGAAGTATCAAAAGACACGTTATTGTCTCCTCTACTTTGTACAAAGTTATCATTTTGAACATTCATACCTAATAAGGTTGGAATACATAAAATGTAAAGTGCAAATGTTTTACTTTTGAAGCAAAAAAATAATAAAATTGGGCTCACCTCAGATTAGAGTGACCTTGACCACATGTCAACAGGAAGCTGAACATAGAAAAAGAAGTCACACAAAATGAAATTTGATGTTTGACATAGATTTTTGACATAGAGCCTCTAGTGTTGGAGTAACGGTCAGTATTCAAACAGGTCTCAGAATTCCTCTCAGGGAATGGCCTCCTAGATCCATATCAGTCTGGTTTTAGAGTGCCCACTCTACTGAAACGGCTCTTCTGTCTGTAACAGAAGCCCTAAGTTCAGCTTAAGCTGCAGCCCAATCCTCAGTTCTTATCCTGCTTGACCTATGCAGACGACTCTACCTACCCTTCCCGCCAGGCAGTCTCACTGTCTCGCCGTGGATCACGGACTGTCTATCAGATATATCTGCATGGATGAAGGCTTGCCACCTTCAACTAAACCTCTCTAAGACTGAACTCTTGGTCATTCCAGCCAAGCAATCTATCCACCATAACATCAAACTACAAATTGACTCCTCAACCATCACTCCAACCAAGGTGGTGAGAAACTTGGGTGTCATGATTGATGACCAGCTGTCCTTTTCAGACCATGTTGCTGCTGTCTCTCGGTCATGCCGCTTTTCTCTATACAACATAAGGAAAATCAGGCCCTACCTCACTCAGTACGCCACCCAGCTTCTGGTACAGGCCATGGTTATCTCTAGCCTCGACTATTGCAATGCCCTCCTAGCAGGTCTCCCAGCTTGTGCGGTGAAACCCTTACAAATGGTTCAGAACGCAGCAGCGCGTCTGGTTTTTGATCAGCCCAAAAGGACTCATGTCACTCCATTACTCAGTGACCTCCACTGGCTCCCCGTGGCCTCCAGAATCAAATTCAAGTCACTAATGCTTGCATACAGAGTGACCACTGGGTCTGCAACCATCTACCTAAACTCCATAATACAAACTTACATTCCTTCTCGGCCGCTACGCTCCTCCAACGAACGCCGCCTGGCTCTGCCATCCCTTCACACAAAGCAATCCCAGTCCCGGCTATTCTCATCTGTGACACCACGATGGTGGAACGAGCTACCACACGCCATCAGAGCAGGGGCGTCCCTCTCTAACTTCAAGAAGCTCTTGAAAACTCATCTCTTCCGAGAACACTTCCTCTTGTAACACCTCTAAATCCTAACCTCTAACATGCACTTCCTGTGCTCTTCTTCTTCTATCCCCTACAATGATCTTGTATTGATTGCACTTTTCTAGGTATCTACCCCATTGATGTGATATGTACTGTGAGCTCTTACTAGTATTTATTGCTGCTCTTACTAGTATGTATTGTCAGTTGTAGATCTGTAGTTGATGCTCTGTTGATGCTTGTATGTTGTTCCTCAAATGTAAGTCGCTTTGGATAAAAGCGTCTGCCAAATGAGTAAATGTAAATGTAAATGTGGAGTTATGAGCAGTGTGACAACTTACACACAAGACAACTTACCCCGCTCTCCCCTATAGTATATGTCACTGAATTTTAGACCTTTATGCCACTCATGGATGTTTTATCAAAATTATGTACTATTAACATCTCACAACTCTGGTTAATCGTAAGACCTGATGTCTTAGTAAAATACTTTAAAGCGTCAAATACAATCGGAACTTGACCTTCATTTTTTAGGAAGAGACAGGTTAGATTAGTTGACTAATAATTAAATTATTATCACCTATTTGTATTCCTTCAGTGCAATAGTGTATAGGTTAATGAGTTCAGCAGCAATTAAAAATAAGAATGGGGATATTGGGCACCCCTGTCTTATGCCTCTTTTAACATTACAACGAAGTGCCATTAACTAATGAGACACTGCTATTGATATTTTTATAGAGTGTGTTAACCCTCTTTCAAAATCTTTCCCCAAATCCAACAAGAAGCAGTGATTCAATTGTTCCACAGTGTCGAAGGCCTTGTAAAAGTCTAAAAAAGTATATTCTGAATAATTTAATGTGTCTAGGATTAAATGGATGTTATTAGCCTACTTATATGTCTATCCTTCATAATACCAGACTGACTTGATGATATGATTTCATTCAGACAGGGTTTAAGTCTTTGAGCATAGTACATGCACATAGCACATTAAAACATCCGGGTATTGATGTGAAGGGAACCGCGCAGGTGCAGAAACGCTCCACCCCTCACAAACTGGCTGTATTTATCTGTGTTGAGACATTCAACGGAATTTAAATCCTTGGCATATAGAGAGATTGTATGAGATTAAAGCCTTGTGTGAAAGTGGAGCGCTGAAGGAGAGAAGTAGCTGGAAAAGAGGGAGGTTATCGTAAGTTTTGGTTTATTCTGTGTTGTTGATCTGAATTTGTGTTTGCGCCCGGGATGTTGGGCACGCTGAACAGGATACTGAGACCTGCGTTGAAACCGGCTCAGTATCTGTCTGGTGTCAGATACGCGCAGCGGATCCGTGCATGCGCTGCGCGTTCAGCAACTTTTCAGTTACTTGAAGACTGCCTTGGTGAGTTTATTTACATATCAACTGAATGTATCCGTAGGCCTATCTATGGGACAAGACTCCCTATTAATCCATGCATATGACATCACCAGTGCTCAACTATGAGGGGACGCCGATGCATTTTAATTACGTGTGGCTGCGGGACCACTGCCGCTCTGCCTCTTCATACAACTCAAAGACTAACCAGAGAAACCTGGACACCGCGAGCATAGACCTCACAATCCGTCCTGACAATACAAGTGTTGAAGATGGCCATCTCGTGCTCACATGTAAGTCCGCTTTAATTACAGTTCTACCAAGCTGAACGTGTGGAAATGAAGGGGTGAGTTGCTGAAGTGGTCAGAAAAGTCTTTACAAAGCCTTGTCAAGTCATATGCTGTTGACTGCACCTCAGAATAGATCATTCCAAAGAAACGCACCATAATAACCATAAATATGCACTGTAATGAAGTCCATTTCACGAGGCTGGATTACCAACTTGGAAAAGTGGGCAGCTGCCAATGGGCACAGAGCCCTGGGTGCATTGTATTTCGCAAACACATTTTTAGCAATTATTCTGGCCATGCACTTACAACATGTAATCAAGAAATTACTAAATTGTATTGCTTAATTGCTACTCTGACAGGAGTTTACTGGGACATCCAACACGCCCTCCTCTAGAAACAGAATAGGTCAATAATTGATGTCTCCAAACTGACCTGTATGATTTTTTTTAATGACTCCCAAAATGACATACAGTATCTCACAAAAGTGAGTCCACCCCCCCCACATTGTTGTGAATATTTGATTATATTTTTTCAAGTGACAACACTGAAGAAATGACACTTTGCTACAATGTAAAGTAGTGAGTGTACAGCTTGTATAACAGTGTAAATTTGTTGTCCCCTCAAAATAATACAATCACACAGCCATTAATGTTTAAACCGCTGGCAACAAAAGTGAGTACACCCCTAAGTGAAAATGTCCAAATTGGGCCCAAATAGCCATTTTCCCTCCCCGATGTCATGAGACTCGTGTGTTAAATTTGACACATGACACGTGAAGTTGTCTCCACAGGCAAGGATGAACTGGACTTTTCCCTCTTTTATGATGGCATTTTTGTGTTTAAATATTCACTCAGTTGTAAGGTAATCCTTAGGGTGTGGCCGGGACTGTTTCATTACTATGTCATAAAAAAAGATATTAAAACCTAAACAAAGGAGCTTTATGTAACATGCATTTAGATATTGACCTCCACCAGCGGCCATCTCATTAACCGACTTGGTGCAGCAAACATGTGGCTTTAACAGACTAGATAGATTTGCTACTGATGTGACATAGTCTATGGAGACATGTATGGATGAAGTATTGAGCTCCTTTAAGTAAGTATTAAAGTACTAATACCATACACTGTAAATGTGTTGTTACAAGTAAAAGTACTGCACAAGCTGGAGCTATATCTTATTCTGTCTCCAGCAGCATCCAGCCTGCTCCTGCAGGGGGAAAATCCTTGTGGGATTTAGTTGCCTCCTTTTCGAGTAAGAGGAATAAAGAGGAGTAAACGGTCCCGCAGCAGCCAGGTGTTGAAAAAGACGCAGGTGTTACAGTGTGCCTTGGCAGTGAATCTGCTGGCTTCATGTGCACCAAGCACTCACCCAAACATTCCCCCTACCTTGTGCCCCCACAGCTCTGTATTCCCTCAGCCCAGCGTGGGTCAGGTCTGACATGAGCAGGAAGATAATAATAGCTAGGAAATTTTGTTTTTAAAATGGAGAGCACAACATAGAGAGATACCATCACTACGGACATTTAATACAATAGCAGTGTAGTCAGAGTCTGGCAGCTCGGAGTTGCCCGTGCTTTCTCTGTGTGGGTGTCTGTCTGGCTTATGCTATTCAGAGTTGTCCTAAAGACTGACCTTGACCCGCCTTGTGGGTTGCTGGGCTCCAGCTTTTTATTTATAAATGCCAGGCTGTTAACAGGGCTTTTATGTACGCACAAGAGGAGCACTGAACCTTGCAAAAACTGACAAATGGGGACCTGTCAGCCCCAAGAGAGTTGATAGGTAGGTAGGTGCATTTATTGTAACAATATAACAGGTTTTATAGTGAAATTGAGTTCTGTAACTCCCTTCTGCTACATAGCAAATATTTTACATTAATACATAAGCAATTCTAAAAATGGTAAACAGAAATTAACAATATTCACTGGAGCAGTGCTGAGGATGAATTTGAGTTTAAAGTCTGATAGCTTGGAGAAAAAGCTGCTCTGCAGTCTGGTGGTGTGGCAGCAGAAACTTCTATATCTCGTCCTAGAAGTCCGCAGGGTGAACAGGCTGAGGCTGGGTGGGTACTGTCCTTTAGTATCCTTTGGGCTCTGCAGGCACCTCACTTCACCAATATCACTGATGCTCAGGAGATGGGTACCGACGATCTTCTGAGCAGTTTTAGTCACCCGCTGCAGAGCCCTGTGGTCCTGGGCCGTGCACATCCCATGCCAGTTTGTGATGTTTCCAGTCAGAATGCTTTCTATTGCTCTGTTCTGTTTGTGAGGAAGTCCAATATCCAGTTGCAGAGTGTTGTATTTAAACCCAGAGTGCTGAGTTTGTTAATCAGTTTCATGGGGGAGCATTCTGATGTAGGTGTTGTTTTTCTCAAGGTGTGTGAGGGCTGAGTGGAGGGCAGTGGAGACGGCATCCTCTTTGGATCTGTTGGTTCCGAAAGCAAACTGGTGAATGTGCAGGCTGGCTGGGATGTCGTTTTCTTGTTTGATGATGCACCTACTCCCGTGGGCATACTGAGTCTGGGTTTGCTCATCCTATCTATAAACATGAGCCTTCATAGACTTGCTTTGCTAAATACTCAATCTCAATGATGCCATGGATGCTCATGTTGCACACAGTTCAGATCTACTTATTTGCTGTATGCTTACAGTTCATATAGATGGCAAGCTTTTATGAGCTGTTCTGTAAACCTTTAAAACCGGATGTCCTGCAGTACAGAGGATGTTCAGAGTTTCTTCTGTTTTAGTTTCTTGTATATGCATATTGTGTAACTGAGAAAAAAAACACTATTAAACGGTCCCCAACATTGAACTCAGTTTAGCTAAACTCAGCCATCTTTTAAGTCCAGCAGTTGGATCCAGAGAAAATGACCATACAAAATTGAGGTATTTAGGCCAACAGAAATAACCTGGGGCAAATTTGAGCCCCCAGTTGCCCTGGCTCGCTTAGCATTGTGTAAGTATGCTGTTGCCTATCACATACAGAGCACACCGCGAGCATCAAATAAACCATTGCACCACCCACCTGCAGAGTAAAAATTAATTAATTTGTAGTATTTAATGCAATTTTCCATTAATTGTACCTAATAACAATGTTTTCCATTTCTGTATCCCAGGGCCTGATGGTCATGTGTCAAAGTACAGCCTCAGCTGGCTGGCTGAGAACAGCTATGAAGGACAGAAGCAGAGATCCGTCCAGCCACACATCCTGTGGAATGCAGACATCTATAAAAATGCAAACATACCTTCTGCCAAATGGGACACGTTTATGAGCTGTGATGATGAATTAAAGAAGTTTCTTCAAAATTATCTTCTGTATGGGATCGCTTTTGTAGATGATGTCCCCGCTACAGTTGAGGCCACAAAGGCAGTATCCCAGAGGGTCAGTCTAATCAGGTATTGGGTGGTTCTTTTTGGCCTATGCTACAGTGAAACTCTTTTCTCCTACAGACGACATGCAACTATTCTGCATTTGTGACTTGCATTCAATAGCAACATTCTCGAACAGTACAGAAGATGTTCGGCCCTGTCCACTAATCCCTATTTTGTGTTTGTTGCTGATCCACAAGGGAAACTACATATGGAAGAATGTGGTGTTTTACTTCAGATTTTTCAAGAGGAGACACTGCCTACAGCCAGCTGGCCCTGGACCGCCACACTGACACCTCATACTTTCAGGAACCATGTGGGTAGGTGCAGCAGAGATGGGTGTGGGATTTGAAAACAGCCCCAATAGTGTGAAAGGGAAAGGATTTCTTGTGTGTGAAGCATTGAAAAAGTAGCATTGAAACACTGTCTTCCCAGAAACAATGCTGCAGTTAATTTGAATTAGTCCAAAGACTTCAATGTCAACAGTTTTATACTGAGGAGTTTTGATATATCTTAAACAAAACCCAAGTAATAAATATAATAATAATAATAATAATAATAATAATCTTTATTTGTTACAAGTTACAAAGTGCTTTAACAAGTGTAAAGACAATAATACCCAAAAGACAATAATACAAAAACAATACAAGATAAAAGCAAGAAAACATTGAATATATATATATATCACACCTACTGACTTGATAGCGCCGATTGTTGTTGCAGAATCCAGGTGTTCCACTGCCTCAAGCATGAGGGAACTGGGGGAAGGACACTACTTGTAGACGGGTTCTACGCTGCAGAGAAAGTACGACAGCAGTCTCCTAAAAACTTTGAGCTGCTTGCCCATGTGCCCATCAGGCACGAGTACATCGAAAACACAGACAACCACCGAAACCACATGACAGGAATCGGGCCTGTGCTCAATGTCTATCCTTGGAACAATGAAATGTACCTGATCCGGTATGTCAGTGCTTTAATCTGATGTAATTTACTCATATTTGTGCACTAGTGAATTATCAGAGACTGTATTCACAGTTTCTCTTAAATTTCCATTTTTATACATTTTGCACTTATTTCATCCAGTGTATCATTTTATTGATTGTTATTTGTAACAATTGTACTTCACCATGACATAATGTATTTATTCTTTATATTCTGTCATTTTATACACTGTAAGCTTTTTGAAGGAATATTCGGTAGTTTTGCGGGAAAGATGAAATGTTTTAAACTTCAGATCAAATCAACAACAAGATTTGTTGCTTTTTTCCCCTAATAGATACAACAACTATGACCGATCAGTGATAAACACAGTCCCCCATGACGTTGTTCAGCAATGGTATGTGGCGCATCGAGAGTTGACAACAGAGCTAAGGCGACCAGAGAATGAACTGTGGGTGAAACTGAATCCAGGGAAAGTAAGACAGCTACATTTCTCAAATGTCAATTTCAATCAAGCAATTTACAGTTTAAAATTGAAAAGTAAACAGGAATATACAAATGTAAGTGTAATTCAGTGTAATCTAAAGATTGTACCCTATCTTATCTTCATGAGGTGATTTTCATAGACAACTGGCGTGTCATGCATGGGAGGGAGTCTTTCATGGGCCTGAGGCAGCTCTGTGGATGCTATCTGACCAGAGACGATGTCCTCAGCACTGCACGCTGCTTCGGTCTGCAGGCCTGATCCTTACACGAAGCTCCCTTCATGGCGTTGAATTAAATTTGCACTGAAAGTCTTCTTTCTTCTCACACCCGGTGCCTGTTGTACTTTATTCATCCTTATTCATTATTTTGTAATTGATGTTTATTGATTGTTTTTGAATAGCAGCAATCCATCCAAAGGTTGAGATATTTCATCTGGACCCAAGCAGTGGACCAACATGCCATCCAGAGGACCATGTTGCTAGGATGTCTATAAAGAACACTTTCTTCAGAGGTGACAAAGATGATTTTGTACACCTGAATAGATTTCAGACTTATACCTTTTATCATAAAAAAAAAAAAACGTTTTCATCTTAATTTCTGAATTTTTCCACCTCCTAATTGTAAAACCATCCTAGGGCCCTGATTAGCCATTTTCATAATTACAAAAATAACACGCCCTAAGTGGGTTAAGGTGGTTGACTTCACACTTCTTGGTAGGGTGATGGTGTGTCTGGTAAGTGTGAGTTTCAGGCCAAACAAGTCCCTAACAAGCTCTGCTCATAGCTAAGGTGTAATCTGTGTAAGACTATTTAAAATGAAGGTGGTGTAAGGATACTGCCTATTTGGCTCCATAAAGCTCCTCAAATCAAGGAAACATATTGAAGGTTATCTGTGCTGGCTTCACACCAGCCAAATAATAAAATAAAATAATACTCAATAATAATAATTATAATGGATACTAGCTTAGCTTTGGTAGAAGGGTACCCATGTTGTTTTGCAATACATGTATGTATTTGGTTGTGCCTAAGAAGAAGCTGTTTGATATTTGCATTTATTAATGGGGAAGTAAATAATGTTTACTTTGCAGTGCACAATGTCCATAATTCATCTGCAGCTGTTAGTAAAGTGGGTGATCAAACCAATGACCCAGTGATTTCTTTCCTCAGTTTTGTTTTTTGTTTTTTTACTTTTATCAGTGGAATAAAATGGCTCAAGTTGTCACCACAGCCCTCCTAAGCATTTCTAAATTATAAAAACAAAAAGAAAATCTGTAGAATAATATAAAGGCTAAACGTGTGCATGCGTCTGTTTTTGATGTATAAAAGTAGGGTCACTGTCTAGTTGAGAAGTTATAAGTTAAATATGATGTCAGGACACAAAGAGTTCAACTGGCCTCTCCCCCTGTGAGACAGACAGAACTTATGTGGAACAGATGTCTAATGTACAGTTAAATGGCTCCTGGCCGACTACAACTTATCGGGGAACCAGCTACACGAGGCCACAGTGTAGAACTAGATCAGGTTAGAAAATTCCAACCTAAAGACAAGATAGTGCTGCTGGTGAAAATGGATTCATGGGAGTACTCAGTGCTCCATAAGGCAGCCTCTGTCTTATTTCATGCCTTAAATATGATTTGATATTATCTGACCCCTCAAAATACTAAAGAAAGAAAGCCACTAAAACCCAAACAACACATCTTCAGATGTCAGAGACTCTAACCTGATAGAAGGCTTTGGTTACGGTGTTAGGCTCCAATGGAAGTTTGCTGCCACCTAGATGAAATTTGATAATGCCAATTATGGTCACACTGGAAGTCAGAAAACACAATATTTCATTTAATCGAGATCTCTGAACCTTATTACATAAAACAGTCATACTTAATTCACAGCTGCTTGGCAGTTTGTATTACCAAAGATCACCTAAAGGTTGATCCAGGAGATTACATTTTCTAAAGCCGTTGTAATACTTCAGATATGTTATCGTTTAAAAGACTAAATTTGAATGTAAGCTTGTCTCATTGCGGGTTTTGTTGTTTTTTAACAAGGTAATCATAAAAGACAATAAACATGGAATGAGCTTGTCTCACTCTGGTCTACACAACATGGTTTGAATGCCGTACTAACTATGAGACGTTAAAACAAACAAAATCACTACAAATATTGTGTCTACATTCAAGCAAATTAGTATTAAAAAACACATTAAAAAAGCTGTAAAAGAGTGAATTAATGGTAAGATATTACCTTTCTAGATTCAGAAAACCTGTAACAAAATGCAACATGAGCCCCATCATATTGATTACATTTGATAATGACGTATGTTGGAGACTGGACATCCTGTTATTCACAATCGTGACGTCGCTCCAGTTGTTTTCAACGGGCCTTTTTTAGGCGTGTGGCTCATCCTCGGCCTGGAGGTTGCCGGCAGTGGTTGCCATGGGAACACCCTCTGAGTCTTCCTGGGCCTGATGAGGGCTCCTCCTAGTGGACAGAGAGAGAGTTGATGTTGCAGGGTTGAAATGACATGATGAAAAGCAACATGCAGAGAACCTAAAGTCTCACTTCATCTCGTTGGCCTCGGATGCTCTGACCGCTTTGTATTTGCGTTTCTTCAAAGTGTGAGCGATGAACCACACGACCAGGATGATGAGGACACAGCCTAGCAGCGCGCCGATCACCGCACCAGCAATCACTCCGTCTCCCACTTCTACACATATATTAGTTTTTATATCAATGAATTAAGCCTTGTTAGTGATTTTTTGTTTTTGCAATTTAAAAAATAAAAATATAAACATACCGTGACCCAGCTCTATAGTGCAAGTTGAAAATCCCACCACATTTGTAGCGTTGCACTGGTACTCCCCAAACTCAAACTGGGATATGTTTCTGATTTCCAGTATTCCGGTTTGGGTCGCTGAGGAAACAATGCATGTTCAGAAAAGGATGAATGTGCACATGTAAAGTATATCACAAACACACACACATATAGACTACAGTACTCACTTCTTCCCAGTACAGGCATCCTTGTCTTGGTCTGATCCAGTCTGATCCAGGTGTATGTCGGGGCCGGGCTGCCACGCTCACTGTGGCAGGTCAGAGTGACCAAATGACCAGATTCCACATCCCCGTGGACGGAGCAATACGGAGCAGAGGGCCTCTCTGACAGACCACAAGGAGGATACATGAATTCATTAGGTGACTTTATGTTCAGTCCTCTAAATCTACTTGACATTATTATGAAGCACATGCTTAATCAGTGGAGATCGTCGATATTTTTCATAAGAGCGTTGGACTGAATTGATTAGCTTTCCTGAGAGGTTTGGTAAGAGGATGTGTGTCACAACTGTGGAGCACTAAGTCTGATACCAGTTACTTAAAATCAAAATACTAGTAGTCATCATCTTCATATGCATATTGTTTCTGAGCTTGACAAATTACAATATGTGATGAGACGTCTTATATATTATGTATTACAAGTCCACAGATCCTTTTAAGTAAAAGTACCAGTACGCAGTTTTCAAATACTCCATTAAAATTCAATGTCCTGCATTCAAAAGCTTACATAAACAAATACATTCACACCAAAATGAACTTAAATTATCAAAAGTAAATGTACTCATTCTGAGGAAAAATGTCCCCTGTCTGTGATATATTTCATATGGCGTAGTATAGAGTACAGTATTTCCCTCTGGAATGTAGTGGAGTTGAAGTCTAAAGTTGCATTAAATAGAAAAACTCTAAATAATAAGTACTTGAATAAATATGCTTAGTCACCTTCAACCACTGCTTTAAGATTATGCTTTTAAAAAAATGTAATACTAACAATAATTTTCTTATTCAAAACAGGTCATACATGTCACACTAACAAAGAGAAAAGATAACGTATAAATCTGTGTGTCGTACAGATCTGAGTTTTTTTAAATGGCAAATCCTTTGCTTACGGTTAATCAAACAAGACGTCACGTGTCTGTCCATTAGTCATCATGAAACAAGAAGTGTGCTGGGAGTGGTCTAACAACTCTCTGCTCCAGAGTTGGCTGAATCTTTTCTGTATATGTCACGGTGCCAGCCTACTAATCAGCAGGCTTTTCAGCACATTGATTGGATAAATCTGCTAGAACATCTTGAAAATGACATAACTATATTTTTTCATATCTCTTGTGTTTTCATAAAAGGGATATAAAGCTTACACACTTATTGGTAATTTATGATAGAGTGCTCACTCTCTTTAAAATATAACCATAATTCTATGTAACAGTAAGCGATGATGAAAATCATCTTTGATCCCACGATAATCAGCATGAGAGCAGCCATGCATATTCATACAGAACTTAGGTATGTATCACATTCAGTGTGTCCTGCAAACATTGTCATAAAGGCCGAAGTTATGGAATACAAGACGTGTGGTTAGCATGCAGCAGATGCAGATACATATTCTGTATGCGGTGCAGGGATGAAGTCACAGACCTACTCTAATTTCCAACTGACAATGAGGAGACCGCTGCAGTAACCATGGAAACTACTGAGGATACTGAGGCTTGCAAGGTTGTCCCTGGTAACTCGGTGAATGAGAGGATTCAAACGGAATGTAATTCCCTAATCACACTATTCAGGGACACTATTTTAAGAGATTTGTTAATATAACAACAATTATAATACAGTAATCTCAGGTGTGAAAATAACTTTGAAGTACGTCGAAGTACTCTTGCTTTGGTTATATTTTACCTACAGTAATTTACACTGGGAATTTGTGTTAAAATAAAAAATTAAAGCTCAATGACAGTGAAAGAGTGGCTCACTCAGACATGACTAATGCAGCCCTACATTCACATGAAAAATACTGAGAGAGAGGAAAAGACAAATGCAGAAACAGGGTGGTTACTACGGGAACAACATTTAAACATACAACTCAAAAATAATGAAATCCAAAATAATATTTGAGACCAGAAACTTAAAAGAAACTGACGGTGTGCTTTGGCTACCCGTTTCAGGAAGCCACACCCTTATAGGCAGGAGAATAATGGCGCCAGCACGAGGTTCAGATAAGTTTTTTTTTTTTTTGTAGCTGCACCATCAGCTCGTACTGTTAGACTACACCCAAGTCCAGGGGTGGATGCTAGTTTGAAAGCAGAATATTAGAGCGCCACGCTGACACAAAAATGATCAACTATTGCCGCTTTCTCTCATAACACAAATGTTCAGCCGATACTGCTAGTGGGTGTGGTCCAGGTATTATGAAATTCCCTACACACCCAGTGTAGACTGTCACAGTGTTTTTGATTATTTAGATTATTAACAGTTAGAGCTCTTCTCAGGACTGTTTTGGATGTGTAATAATTATTATATACTTTCTCTTACTCAAGTTGATATATTGACCAACAGGTGAATAAACCCTCAGCCGTCTGACTTTTCAGTAACTCCCCTATTAAGTTTGGATCTCCTCACTCGTGAACCTTTCTCTAATGTTGTGTGTTTAACATAACATCTAAAGGGCAGAAAAAAACGTCTTTTACAACCTCTGGAGTTTATAGAACTTACCAAGAACATTCACAATGATGTTGGCCTGAGACTTTCCGGCCACATCAGGAAAGTTGTGAACCTCGCAGGTGTAGACTCCGGTATCTGATGGTTGCATGTTGCTTATTACTATTGAGGCGTTTCTGGTTGCGTTAGGGAAAGAGGGAGGCTGAAGCCTGCCCTCATAAGATTTTGTGATGACATCCATTCCTGATTGATAGTAATACACCTGTAAGTAAATTGTAACAAGTTAGATTATCTGACACAAGAAAGACACTTAAATAACGTTTCTGTATACTTTTATATTATTTCATAGTAGTACCATTTGGAAAATGAGCTCAAAATTCAAAGTTGGCAAAGAAACAATTATAAGTGATTGATAATAATCATACTCATTAATGCCTGTAATCATTCAGAATGGAGTATTTTTTTACTAAATGTACTTTTATCTGATTTCTCAATCACAGGCTTTGTTGTCTCAGTGAGGTGTGTCTGCTAACAGTTAGGCGGCATACTGAAAAAAGGAGCGAACCTGTTTGCATGAGCACGCACATGACGTGTTTTTGGTTCAAGCTTTGTGATGAAGTTGATTTTTCTATGAGTAATTTAAACTACAAGCAACTGGAACTTTG